CTCGGCGTCGTCGTTGGCGTCATCGCTGGGGCTGTCGGAGTGTTCTTCGTGGTCGAGCCCGAGAGAGCTCCTGGCAAGCTCCGCCTGCTGCCGAATCACATCGATGCATTCCAGGACGTTCGGATTCGATGGCAACATCTCCTCGATGTTTTTAAGCAACCCCTCGCAGGCCTCCAGGCTCTCCGTGGAGAGGTCCGGCTCCCGCAGCAAGTTGGAAATGCCATAAAGGGTATCCATGAGGCGAACCGTGGTCTCCTCATTGATTGGATTATCGCCATTAGTATCACCGTTCTCCACCCCATTCGCGTCATTAGGGATAAGGCCCTTGTGGTCGAGGTCCTTCAGATGCATTTCCATCTGATTCAATGCCTCAGTTTCAGCGGAATTATCGGCGAGCTTACTGACGGACCCCGGCAACGCTTCGTTCGACATCGGAAAACTCTCCTCCTCAAGCTCCTGCGCGGCTTGCTGAGGAAGGTCCAAGGTCACGCCCTCGCCCTTCAAGGTGAGGCCATCCTGAAGTCTTTTCATCCCCTCTCGCACGGCCTCCAGGACGATCACGGCCTCCAGGCTTTCCTGCCATCTCACGCCGCGCGCCGTCGCCATAACCAGCGTCTTCTCCACCACCCGAGAGATGGAAAAGAGCTCCTCGATGGAGACGCTCGCTTTGGTATCGATTATGTCACGAAGCATGGAAAACACGCGAATAAACGAATCTATATCGCAAATTCTATTGTTTAAGGAATTCATCGTTGATCCCTCGTCAGCGCCTTCGACCCTTTCAGATTGTGAGGGCTCTTGGGATAGAAAGGGGGGTTGCAGTTTGTGTTCCTCGTTAGGCAGCAGCGGCGGAGGGACATCATATGCATTATACGCTGATGTACTCTTCCTTTTTTCCTCCTCTTCGCTCTTCTCCATTTTTGCCACGGAAGAGGAAAATTTCTGGCTGGCGAGCTGCAAAGCTGTTTCGAACTCATCGCGCAAAGCCTCCTCCTCCGCGCTCAGCGCCCCGATCGAATCTATCATCTCAACTAAACCCCACAAAGGTTCCATCTCCACCGCACTTACCAGATTATTCATATTCCTATCTTTGAGCGCTCGCATGATTCGCTTGATTAACTCAAAGAGTTCCTTTCGCTTCACGTCTGAAGGGGATTCCACTTTGGCAGAGAATGGAGGCGCCGGAGCCTGCATAACAGCCTCGCCGCTCAGCAGGATTTCGTTCAGCTGCCCTAGAAGCTGCGAAACTATCGGCTCGAGGTTTCGACAAGTCTCCATGTTTAACCTTCCACAACTTTCCTGAATCGACTCCAGCTCGGATATGCAGAATTTTATTAATCCAAGGTCTCTTTCTTCTGTTGCCTTGATGAACTCATTGCTCTGAATTATATTCATGACATTTTCGAGACGTTTACTGACATCTTCGGAGGTTTCGGGCGTAGCGAAGGCCTCCGCGGCCGCGGTGGTTTCGTCTCTTGTGGCCGTGGAGGAGGCTGTCGCCATCGCTTCCCTCTCGGAATTAACAGCGTGGGTAATTGTCAGGAGAGATTGGTTAATCGATTCCAACAGCCTCTCTGCCTCATCCTTTTCTAGAGGGGAGAGAGTCGACAGGTTATCCTCAATACGCTGGAGTTGGGGTAAAAACTCACGCGCGAGGTTCAACTTACCCTGCGCATTCTGCTTTAGGAACATCGGCGAGGAAAGCATGCTTTGGATGGCAATAAGAATTTGATGCGTCTCGCTCGGTGGCAAAGGGGAGGTTGAAGTTTCCCTACTTTGCGTGAAAATCCGCTCGAGCGGGGCTGTGAGACGCGTAATTTGGGTCTCACTGCAGCCCATGCCACGAAGCATATCCACAGCAGAGTCCGCGCGCTTTCGAAAATCCTGCATAAGCGCTTGTTGTCTCTCTGGAGTTGCGTTCTTAAAGCGATCGGAATTCAAAAACATAAAGATCAATTTAATTTGGTCCATCGCCTCGGCCACAATAGTCTTGACCGGTACAGAGTCCTCCTCGCTTAGTCCGAGTCCTAGGGATTCCTCTTCCAGCTCTTTCGCCTCCGTTTCGCCCGCAAGCATGTCCTCCGCCTCCTGCACTGCCTCTGCCTTGCTAGATACGCCCTCATTGCAGGTCGGCAACAAATTTAAGATACAAGTGACATAATTTTCGATCTCATCCTGCTCATTCTCGGGCAAAGTCACTGTACTTTTCAAAAACTTCAGAAGGTCCTGGCGTAGCTGCTCCCCCATTCTCTGTTTGATCTCTTCCGGAATATTCTCCGCACGAAGGGAGGACGCCGCTTGCAAAATCCTCTTCAACGTTTCCCGCACGTTGGCAAGCCGTTCCCCGGATGGAGGAACGCCCTGCGTTGTCGGTTTCCCCTTTTGTGAGGCGAGAACCTCCTCGGGGAGCTGTTTTTGAAGGCTCTCTAGAATGCCGTACATTTTGGCGGCAATCTCACGACCATAAATCACCAGCGGATCATCCTTTTGTGCCTTCAAGCTCTCATCAATCGAAAGAATCTCTGTCTTGCACTTCTTGAGAAACTCCGACCGTTGGGCAGGCTCCATTTTCTGGATTTCAGCATTCTCAAACTTCTCATGCACCGCCATCAAACATTTGATGTCGGTAAGGGTGGAATACGCTATGGGCTTCCCGTTCGAAGGGGGAAGGTT